AATAGAAGCACTTTAAGCCGGGTAATGGGCAAGGTCAAAGGGAAATCTAATATAGGAGAAAAGACGTAATAGAAACGCATGCGAAAAGCTTCAAAGGAAAAGCGGAAAAGTCAAAGTTTACACTCACAAATAAAGCTGCTCTCAGAGATACTTAAAGCCAAAGATATTTTTATATGTAGTATATTATAATAGTATTATATCATATATATATAAATAATAATCGTCAGAAAAAAAGAAACAAGAATAACGAAATTAAAAGCAAACAAGCTAAGTACAAAAAACAACTTTTATAATAAAGCTCAATGAAAGGTTAGAATATCAAACAAAAAGGCCAAATCATATAGGAAAAAATAAATAATGACGAATGAGTCATTAAAAAGAACAAACAGAAGAAGAAAAAGAGAGAGAATGGCATAAATATAAAGCATAAAGAATGCACAGCAAAGTAAAACTTTAATTTGAACCATAAATTAAAGTTTACATTTAATTAAATACTTCAATGAAACTCAAATAATGCATAAAAACATGAAAAAAAAAGATTCCACATTAAATACTCAAGAAATAACAAAAAAATTTATTTCACAATTTTTTCGACAAAATCAAAATTAAAAAAACACATTACTAAGCCAAAAAAGCATTAATTTCAAATCAGAAATCGTTCCCATGTTAGTTTTTAAAAGGTTAACAAATCTGCATACTCTATTTAAAATTTAAAAAAATTTAATATTTTTTGACATTTTGTGAAAATTTTATCGATGGTTCCCCTTGTAAAATTTTGAAAAAATTTTAAAAATGTATTTTTCTTTCTGAGACAGCTAGATTAATTCGCCTGTTGATACTGATCAAGAATATATATGATTTATAGGGTCTGAAATGACTCCTTCACTAAGTTTTTAGCTTCTGACTAATAATATAATACTCGGGAAAGGGTATACAAAACAATTAGAAGACTCATTAAAAGAATATGTTATTTATTTTTATGTTGAGTAATATAATTTCTAAATCACTTCAAAGTTAGCTTCCTTTTTAGCATTTTTTTTTTAATTTTTATTGATGGATCTCTTCATTCATGATTGATGATTTAGGACCATCATTATCTAAGATTTTATTTTCTTCCTACTTTTCTGAACAAAGGCCTTGAATTTCGGTGTTTTTTTGCTTTATTTCTTTATTTAATATAATTAAAAACTAGAAAGGAAGCTAATTTCGGCACGCCGAAGTTTGTATACCCTTGCAGATTAAAATTCGATCACTACTAAGTAATACAATATAAATTATATATAGTTATCTTAAAAAACAATTAAGTAATGCTTGCTTTCATTTTTTTCAGTTATATATTTTCCTCTATTGTTAACAATATTTATGATATAGTCGTCCGATTATCATAAAATTTTACACAAAATTCTAGATTAATATATTATAGCTATGTATCAAATTTTATGAAAATCTGTAGAAAACTGGAAAAGTTATAATTTTTTTCTAAAAACTTTCCGATTGTTCCTATGGCAGCTATATATATGTATATATTATATAGTCCACCGATTCGCCATACTCCGACTTATATAGTAGTAAAATTATATAGAAGAATAACTCCATAGTTTCATTCAAATAGCGTAAATTCGTTCCAAGACATATCTCGCACATCTGTGCATATGATTCCCAACTAGTTCTAACATCCCCGGAACGAAGTGACTGCTGCCGGCCACGTCTCAGATATGTGTTGTGTTACAAAAGTTGCAAGTCATTGTGTTTATTAGTGTTCAAAGTTAGTAACTGGTCATAGATACTTACTGTTCAGAGATACTTACTGATCATAATTACTTACTGGTCAAAGATACTTATTGTTCAGAGTTACCTACTGCTCATAGTTACTTATTGTTCATAGATACTTACTGAACATACTTAATTACTGTTCAAAGTTACTTACTGCTCATAGTTATTTGCTGATCATAGTTCTATAAATCGTCCGATCGTTCCTATGGCAGCTATATATATGTATTATATAGTCCACCGATTCGCCATGCTCCGATTTATATACGAATAAAATTATATAGAAGATTAACTCCATAGTTTAATTGAAATAGTTTGCTCTTTGTTCCAAATCAAATCTCGCACATCTGTGCATATGATTCCCAACTAGTTCTAACATCCCCGGAACGAAGTGACTTCTACCGACCACGTCTTAGATATGTGTTGTGTTACAAAAGTTGCAAGTCATTGTGTTTATTAGTGTTCAAAGTTAATAACTGATAATACTTACAAATTTATTGATCATACATACATACTTACTGATCATAGATACTTACTGATCATGGGTAATTACTGATCATAGTTACTTAATGTTCATAGATACTTACTGATCATAGTTACTTGCTGTTCAGAGTTACTTAATGCTTTTAATTATTTACTGATCATAGTTAATTTCTGATCATGGATACTTACTGTTGAAAGATACTTACTGATCCTGTACATTTAACAACCGTTTTCCTGGTAGTTATATTATAAAGTATTCCGATTTTAATAAAACTAAAAAACGTAATTCTATAATAATAAAATAAAATTATAATAACAAATTATAGTCGTCCGATCTGGCCCGTTCCTGCAAGGGTATAAAAGAAAAAGATAATAATAATAAATAAATAAAATGAATGTGTTCTTAGCGATTGAAGTTTGGCAACGTTGCCTGGCCATGATAGGCCATCTCTGTCGCACCCAGGTCGCCGTTGGTCTTTAATATTTAATGAATTAATAAACGGAGAGCCTGTGGTTGTGTCGCTACGCCGGCAGAGAACGGTTGCGTCGCCGTTGAAGCCGGCAGAGATGCGTCGCCGCTGCGTCGGGTCAAACGCGTCGCACGTTAATCAGAGAAAATCAAAGAAAATATATGAAAAATCAGGAAAATCAGAGGGGGGAAAACTTTGTATATAAAAACCTCTCAATAATATCTAGAAAACTGGGTTGAGAACTGGCATTCAAATTGGGATTGGTTTTATTTGATAAAATAGGTGTGATTTTGTTTTTTAATTAAATTAAAAATAAATAGAACAATAACTGATTATTGTTAGTTCGGAAATTGTTTATAATTAACAAAAGGAACTCAATCTTAAAGTTAAATTAGCAAAGCCACGTTTTCTTTTTTATTATATATTAAAATATAATATAAACTAAATCAATGAACATTTTAGTTATTTAATTAAAAATTCAATATTTATTTATGCATAATTTTGGCATATTCATTTTAAAATGTTAAATGCTCTTTACATTTACTAGATTTTGTTTAGTTAATTATTTAATATATGTTGTACATATATTTTCCGTTTAAATTAATTCAATTTGTCGTTAAATTTGTTATAAATAAAAAATCAATCGGCTTACAAATATTTATTTCCATTTAAAATATAAATATGTATTTGTTAAATATTTTAAAAAGCAAAAGAAAAATGTAATCTCCAAAGTGTGACTAATTTTTGGGCCAGCCATTGTAGTCTCTGTCGCTGCTTCTGTTGTCGTCGACGTCATGCTCTCTGCTTCTGCCGACGCTGTTGCGGTTGCAGCTCGCTGGCAACATCAAACGCGCTCACTTGCAACCTGGCAACTTGAACATCGAACGCGCACAGTAGCACATGGCCGCGCGCATCATGAAAACGACAGAGATGGCCAATTAGCTTCAAACCCGGTTCGAACTAGCCCCTAGTCCTCTCTCGCTCGCACCGGTTCGATAACGAACTATTTACCGGCCGGGGTTTTCGGGGTTTGTGTCCCCAATAAACAAGAATAAAAATAAAGCAAAAAAAAAGAGAGGAATAATAATAATAATAGAGTCAGTAAATCAACCGTTATTGTAATAATAACACTCGTAGGTGTGTGTATATGCATATATATAGCTCATGTGGCGAATTATGCAGATATATGCGGCGATGTGATCATCCGATTATCTTGGATTATAAAAAAAATAAAAAAAAAAAATACAAAATAAGCGGTAGAAAAACTGGGTCAAGCCTCAGTTGGTTCCACTTGATGCAGCCTGTTAGAAAATGGAAAATTCGCAGAAAATATAAAGACAGTCTACGATCCTTGATTTTAATAATATATAAATAATAAAGAAAAATCTGCACTGAATCCGATTTCATTAACTTTAAAGCAGGTCAAGGCTATAATTGCAATACTAAGGGAAAATTAGAAACATTTATTCAGTTAATATAGCTAAATATACTATTTATTTATGGTTTTTTATAGTAAAATTTATACAAAAAAAAATATCAAAGAAAAAAAGAGCTTTAATTTTTGATTATATAGCTATAAATCTAAACTAATAATCATTAAAATCAGAAGAATAAGTTATTTTTCTTATATTTATTTAAAATTGAAAGTAATTAGTGACTTCAGTAGTTACATATAGGTGAAAAAATGTTTTTTATAGCAGAGATTGATATAATAATGGGGTTTTAGAAGAGAAATTTAACTATAATTAGGGTCAAGCGTAAATAAAGGATTTTTAGAGACTCTTAAATGGGATTATATAAAGAATTTTCTTCAAGTTATATTATATATTTTAGATATTTAAATTAAAAGTTGGGACCCACAGTAAAATATTTTTTAGTTTAATATAAAGTGTAAACTTTTATATTAATATGTTATATTTTATATATTTTTCTTAAATGTAATATAGAGAATATAGTGAAACTTGAGCTATGGGTACCATTCTGATCGGTGTATTTATATCCGTATATATATCCACGATTTATATAAGATTTTAGCTATTTCTTATTTGAAATCGTTAAAAGAAACTGTCCAAAGGAAGGAAAACAAATATTTACAATTTTACTGCAGTTACTGTTGATTTTCTAGAACAATTTTTGGCCAGCAGTTTTAGTTGATTTCAATTTCCTCACATATTTTCATAGCCTTGTTCCTTAGCTTTCCTTTGCTTGCGAGTCTAAAAACCTCTTCATTTATTTGAACAATATTTTAATAATCTGTTTTTTTTCTCCTTCCGCCCCCACTGGTCGTACAGGGCTCTGGAGCAGCAGACTCAGTATGCCAAGCACCTGGGCCACCTGCAGCAGCAGCAAGCGCCTCCGACGAGCCAACAGCAGCAGCAGCAGCAGCAGCAGCAGCAGCAGCAGTTTGCAAGCCAGCACCACCACCACCACCAACAGCAGCAGCAGCAGCAGCAGCAACAGCAGCAACAGCAGCAGCAGCAGCAGCAACATCAACACCAACAGCAGCAGCAGCAGCAGCAGCAGCGAGCAGGGGCTAGTCCACTGTCACCACCTCGTCCTGGAAACCCTAGCGGCGGCAGTGGAGGAGGCAGTTGCGGCAGCACTGGAAGCGGTGGCAGCAGCAGCAGCAGCGGAGGTAGCAGCACCGGCAGCAATAGTGCATCCGTCAATAATAGTTACCCGCCACCGCCACCGCAGCATCGATACGATCGGGCCTATAGCATTGGCTCGGCGCCCACCTATCGCGAGACACCCTACACGCGTCTCACGCAGCAGGTGCATCAGGTGGTGCAGCAGGTCGTGCAGCAGCAGCAGCAACAGCAGCAACAGGCGCAGCAGCAGCAGCAGCAGATGCCGGGATATCAAAGAGTTTCGGCAGCAACGGCAGCAGTGCTGGCGGGCAAATCGTCCGCTCCTGGCCAAGGTTCCAATTCAAGTCAAGGGAGTGGAAGCGGCGGGAGTCAGGGTGGAGCTGCTCCGCCCGGCGGCGGTGTGGTGCAAGTGTCGCAATCCGGCGGTGTCCTGGTCATGGAGGCAGCGCCCCATTATGCCAGCCAACCAAATAGTAATCCCTCCCAGCAACAGAAGCAGCAGCAGCAGCAACAGGGAGCGGGGCCAGCCTCATCTGCCGGGGATAATTGCAGCCGCATAATGGTCGGTAATCGGGGCATCCTGATACCCCACTCGCAGGCCCTGCAGTATTCCAGCGAGTACCTGACCAATGTCACAGCTGCCGTGGCTGCCGGTGCAGTGATTCAGCGCCAGCCGTTGCAGCTTCCCCCGCAGCAGCAGCAGCAGCAGCAGCAGCAACATCCTCCCGAGCCATTCGGCAGTGCTGGTGGCCAGCAGCCGTACAAGAAGCAGCGGCTAAGTGATGCCAATGCCAGCACCATGAATCACCTGCCACCGCCACATCCTCAGCATCAGCAGCAGCAGCAGCAGCAGCCGCCGTCGCACCAGCAACAACGATCCTCGCCAGCGCAACAGCAGCAGCAGCAGCAGCTAAATAGCAGTCGACAGAGTCACATTGATCTCTGCCGTCAGGTAGGAGGCGGCACGCCCATGGGCATACAGCTCAAGGTGGATACACTGCCTCAACAGCAGCAGCAACAGCAGCAGCAGCAGAGGGAGCTGCATCACCTGAGGGAGCAGCATCATCAGAGAGAACAGATGCAGCAGCAGCAGCATCACAGGGAGCAGCAGCAGCACCATCAGCGGGAGAGAGAGCGGGAGCAGCACCACCACCAGCAGCAGCAACACCACCACCAGCAGCAACAGCAGCAGCAACATCAGCAACATCAGCAACACCAGCAGCAGCAGCATCAGCAACACCAGCAGCAACAGCAGCAACATGCTGCACAAAGCAGAAACCCGCCACTGTCAGCGGTGAGCAGTAGCTTGGCAGGAGTGGGAACGGTGACTGTGTCCACAACAGGACCAGGAGTGGGATCGAGCAACAGCAGCAGCAGCAGCAGCAGCAGTAGCCATGTGATTGCTGGAGGAAGTGCCAGCACTGAGGCCTACCATCCACAGGTGAGTACATTACATTAGGTTCTACAAGAAATCTTATTAACTTTCACTTTCTTTCTTACCAGGTGGAGGCCATTTCGCCGACGCTGCCCAGCGATAATGCCATCGAGGAGCGTGGTAGGACCAGCGCCAAGGAGGAGCTGCTTATGAAAATCCAAAAAGTTGATAATGATATCAAATCCGCTGAGACAACCATGGAGACGTTGCGTAAAAAGGAAAAGAGCCTTATGGAGGAGGCAGCTTTGGCTAAGCAGCAAAAGGCCGCCAAGGATGTTGTTGCTAATAATAACAATAATAATAATAGCAACAATAATAATAATAACAACAATAACGAACAGGATGAAGTTGTGGAGCTGGCCTGGCGTGGCCAAATGTTAGCGGAGAAGATCTATGCGGCCAATAGAAAGACGGCCCATGACCAACATTCCAAGCTGCTGCAGATTGCAGTAACAACAACAACAACAACGACGACGGGGACAACTTCGACGACGACGAATCAGTCTAGCGATGCCATGAGCATAAGACCTTGGCTGCCGCTATATAATCAACCCTTGGATGTGGAGGCCCTAACCGTGCTAATACGTCAACATCAGAGTCAAGTGCGTGCACCTCTCCTGTTGCACATACAAAAACTAAAGGCCGAACGTTGGCTGCACAATCAGGGCCTCGTGGAGAAGTACACCAAGGAGCAGGCCGATTGGCAGCGACGCTGCGAGCGAATGGAGGCGAGTGCCAAGCGGAAGGCACGTGAGGCCAAGAATCGCGAGTTCTTTGAGAAAGTATTCACGGAATTGCGTAAGCAACGTGAGGATAAAGAACGTTTCAATCGTGTCGGTTCGCGGATTAAATCCGAAGCGGATCTCGAAGAGATCATGGATGGACTCCAGGAGCAGGCACTCGAGGATAAGAAGATGCGTTCATATGCCGTCATACCGCCCCTAATGTACGATGGCCGGCAGCGGCGTTGCGCCTATCACAATGAGAATGGACGCATCGAGGATATGATGGCAGAGCATCAACAGCGCAAGGCTCTCAATATGTGGACAGCGGGCGAGAAGGAGACCTTCAAGGAGAAGTATCTGCAGCATCCGAAGAATTTTGGAGCCATTGCAGCCAGTTTGGATCGCAAGTCGCCGCAGGATTGTGTCCGCTACTACTACCTCAGCAAGAAGACGGAGAACTATAAGCAACTGTTGCGTAAATCCCGCCAGCGCACGCGTAGCTCCCGGAATCCGGCCAAGGCGCAGGCCGCACAGCCGCAGTGCATCATTGATTCAATGACCACGGGTGTGATGACGCGCCTGCAACGTGAGCAGCAACAAAAGTCCGGGAATCGCTCATCGGCTGTGGCCGAACGTGAGCGTGCGGAAAGGGCTGCGGAACGGGAACGTGTGGCAGAGAAGGCTGCCGCAGATGCAGCCAAGGCGGCGGAGAGTGCAGCGGAGAAGGCAAGTGCCGCCTCGAAGGCAGTGGAAGCCACGGCAGCTGGCGAAAAGGTGGCCAAACAGGCGGCAGCAGCGGCACAAGCGGCAGCAGCACAAGCAGCAGCGGCACAAGCAGCATCATCATCGGTAGCAACAACAGCAACGTCCACGACGACAACAACGGTGACGACGAGTGCCACAACAGCAGCAGAGAAAGCGGCAGCAGAGGCAGCAGCAGCAGCAGCAACAACAGCAGCGGCCAAGAATGCCTCCAGCGATAAGAATGCCACGGCGGCAACAGGAGCGACTACAGTGCCCACAACAGGCATTGCTCCAACCAGCGGCAACACACCTGCAACCACAAATGCAACAGCAGCGGGAGCAGCAACCACACCATCAGAGATCTCAGCGAGCGGCATCGATTCTACAGCCAAGAGTAGCAAAACCGTCGATGACGAGGCAGCAGCAGCAGCAGCTGGAGGAATAACAACCGGAGGAGCAGCAGCCACAGTGGCGGCCACGGCTGGTCATACACCAGCCACTGCAACGGCAGCCAATCCCGCATCCGAGGGCAGTACGGGCACGGCAACGGGTGCCACGGCTGCAGGTGGTGGTAATGTCAAGGGAGCTAGCAAACCAGAGACAGCCACGGAGCCAGCGGTGGGAACAGCGGCCAAAGGTGCCGATGCGGGCTCTGAAGGCAACACAGATCCTCTGGCTAAGACTGCCAGCAAAGAGAATGGTACGTGTGATGAGTTTTCAGATTTACTAAAGAAACATAACTAATTATTATACTCCTATTCCTTAGCTACCGGTGTCACCACATCTGCGGCTCCAACGCCGACGCAAGGCGTAACCCTGAATGGCTTCAAGACCGGTTACCAGACGGTGGTCATGGCCAATGTAAAGGCAACGGCGGCAGGAGCAGGCGAAGATTCAGGAGCAGGAGCAGCTGCAACGGGAGCAACAAAGAATGCAACAATGGCAACTGGTGGTGGCAATAGTAACGATAAAATCGTCAAGACAACGCCAACATCGGGCTCGGTTCCAAATTCAACAAGTACACCCGCCGAGAGTGTTGGAACAGGAGCAGGAGCAGGAGCAGGAGGAGGAGCCGCCGGAGTACCCACATTGACCACCGCCACAACGGCGGGCAATTATCTTGGCCAGAAATTGAAGGCGGCCCAAGTGGAGGGACTTGGGGCGGGCAATGATCTGCATTCAGATGTTAGGTGAGAGTTTAAACTATGAATTAGCGATAAATTATGGAGGAATTGATAAAATGAATGATGTGTTACGTTTGGGATATAAATATGAATGATGAAATGATGTATTCATATACTAAATAATAATTTTCGTACACTTTTTGTACACTTTCCGTTAATATTCATATTTTAAAGTTAAATCCGAAATGTTTTTAATACTTTATTACTTGATATATCAATGTTTAGGGTGCTTTTGATATTGTAATGTTAAATGCTCATTTTATTTGTTATTTACAATTTAATTACATCAAAGTTCATTTTATTATTTTGATGACATCAATATTTTGATGAAAAATTCCATAAATTTCGATATTTAAAATGTTGATATATTAAATTATACAATAATTTCCTTAACATTGGTATCATAACCATAAATGTGATATTTTTCGATACTTTAATAATCAATATAACTATCTTAGTCATATTTTCTTTATGTAAATTGTAATCTAGACTTCTTATTGGACTTTTACCCTCTGTACTTACTACAAATATCAATTTTATTAATAATTCCTCTTAATATTTATATCTTTTATAACTAAAACTATAACTAATAATATTTATATTGCCATCTCTCTCGATTTTGCAGTGACTCAAAGCGAAAGCGTTTCGAAATGAATGCCAGCGGTGAAGCACAGCAAGTGGGTGGAGCGAGTGCCACCAATAGCCACAATAGCAATAATAATCTGAAGGCCAATGCCAAGGATGTGTCGATGGTCAAGTCATCATCATCATCATTAACATCCTCTGTCGCTGCATCGGTATCATCTGGATCAGTGGCCTCCTCTGTGGTTACCTCCACGCCGGCATCTTCATCCGGTTCCATTCTACTGATCAGTGCCGCCTCCATAATGTCCACTGCAACTGGTTCAGGATCAACAGGATCAACGGCATCCACTGCTCCGGCGATCTCTATGCCCCTGCTATCGGATGGAAGTGAAATTATTGCATTGGATGGAAAGGGTAAGTGCAAGAATTTCTTTAAATTATATATTTATATTTGTTTTATATATTATTCAAATCATAAGCAACGTTCCTAGATCAGTTTGTGTTGAAAAAGATATGAGGATAGGCTTGAATTTTTGAAAATTGAAAGGGAGAAATCTATTAAAAGGAAAATATTTGTATTTATTATTTTTTTCTTAACTGGAAAGTGATAAAATCGAAAAGCTTTTCTTGGGCTATCGATTTCTCTTTTTTTTCACAATTATTCTAAAAGATAATTATCGAATTGTCTCAATTATATCGCTTAACTATCGATATATTCAGGAAAGTCTACTGATAAATCTTTTGTTATTTCAAATGGAAATTATCAAAAGATGTCTTTGTTTGTTAGTTAATTAATATTAGTTTCTTTTCTTAATTTATATTTTAAATCGAATTTCTCCAGCTTCGATAATAGAATTTTTTGGTGTGTATGAGTTAGAGATAGAAGCTGCTAAAACTAATTAGTTTCTCAATAAAATGATATAATATAATTTTGGTTATCATTTTAAAATTTAAACATTATCCCGCTTATTATGTTTTTTTTTTTTTTTATAAAATTAAATGTTTTCAAACTTCGTTTATTTTCAAAACAAAATAGAACATGATATATAGGGAGACTTAATATTAAAAGCTTTCCAATTGATGATGTCCTTGCTGTCCTAGATTTGAGCTTTCAGCTATCCTAGACAGCTTTTCCCAGCTTTACAAGCTTTTGAGCTTTGCGAAATAAAACTTGAATCAAGAAAATCCTGTTTTAAATCCTGCCTTTCAGCTTTTTCTATGACTTTCTGTTTTACAAAGCTTTCATTGGTTGTTTGTTTTTCAAAAAAAAAAAGGAAATGTCATTGTGCGTCCCTTCGGAAGCTAATGAAAAATGCATTTCCCATTGACAATAACTGCAGTCCTTTGGCTTAAACCAAAAACCAAAAACCCAAGTTGCCAGGACTTGCTCCTCCAAGGAAGACACACTCTGTGTCCCTCTTTTTAACTGCGTTTCTTTGCCTTCTGTTTGCGCTGCGTTCACCGCCAGCGTTTTTCGATTAATATTTCATCAAAAAAAGGAAAACCCCCAAAAAGAAAGCAGGAGAAAAGCGGGAGAAAAAGCTATGATGGCCTCAAGTCAGAGTCAAAAAAAAAAAGAAAGAGTTGACAGTAGAGAATATATATATATATATATATATATCTCGATTTCCAAGTTCCAGTTTTTCGGCCGCTTGTGGCTTTTGTTTGCACCACCGCCACCACCACCCACTTGAGTCAACCCCACCCCACCACCCAACTTCACCTTAAATCCACCCACTTGAGGCAGGAAACCACCACCCACTTGGCACTTGCCACATGCCACATGCCACTCCTCCTCCCTTCCCTGCTCAGGGCTCATCATCTTCGGCCTTGTTGTTGGCTGTCATCATCATCTCCCTGGCGAGTTAATTAAACTCAATTAAATTAATTTCCTTTCCTTTTTTTTAACGTCTTTTTTATTATGCAAGTGATTTAATTTAATTATTAAATTGCGGCAAGGATTGTTTACCTTTCGCAGCGTAAAAGCAGAAGCCGAAGCAGAAGCAACGTTGCCTTCTCTTATCCCACCTTTGTCCATTTCCATTTGCATTTCTCCGCATTTCTCCAAAGTTGAAAGTGGGGGAAAAAAAGGATAACGATAAATGCGATAAAATTCGATTTGAGTTGTGTCTATCGATAAACATTGATAATAATCATTAATTTGGTCATTTAACATTGATTTTATCTACTGATTGAAGTTGAGCAAAGGAATTAGTCGTTTTTAGGGATCGTGATCTGTAGATTAGTGTTTTAAAAATGTCATTAATCGGCTTTATTATTCTCTAAATGCTAAGCTTGATTGTGTTGTGAAATGTTATCGATTCAGTTGGGTTTCTTTAGCTATAGATGTGATATATATATATATATATATATATATATTCAAGACTCTTACACTTCGTGTTGTTCAAGGCAATTCATCGATTGATCTTCGATAAATGTCCTTAATTTTTCTCTATCGATTAGCAGGGATTCAGGCAGAAATTAATCGTTTTCTGTATGATCTTTCGATAAATGTTTGTAAATGTTATTTCTTGCTCAAACATTTAACTTTTCTTTTGCTGATAGTTGTGATTTATTGTTAAAATATTTTATTTATGGGGTATTGATTATTTGAAACTTAAACGAATTTATATCTCAGTGAAATGATTTTAAAACAATTATTTTACATAGTTTATATAATCTTGTGATTAATCAGTATGCCAATCTTTCGCATAAATCTCTTTAAACTGATTGATATTGTTTCTTTGATTAATTTTTATATATTTTTATATAATTTGTTATATATTTAACATTTTATGGACTTGTCTGCTTGAATTTGTATTATAATGACAATGATTTAACTGCTCTATTAATTTGTTATTGTTAATATTATTATTAATAATGACAATGATTTATCTGCTCTGTTAACTTTTTGTTGTTTACTCACCTGTAACATTTACTTACCTTGTAAATGTTTTACCTCTCTTTCGTTTATTCCTTCACCCTTTTTATACACCTGTTTTCTTTTTCTCTTTTTGTTTATATATATTTGATATATTTATTTAATTGCATTTCTAAAGAGAGCGCACAAAAAAAAAAAAAAAAAACATGGAGACAAACTTGTAGCATTTGTTTATAAATTCGTAGATTTCTTCGATGATTTTTGATTTTTTGGAGTGTGTGTGTGTGTTGAACCTTAGTTCTGTTGTTGTGGATCCTCTCCAGAAGTATCCATTAGAGCAGGAGCTGGAGCAGGACCAGGAGCAGGAGCAGGAACCTCCCTCTTACTCACATTGCTGCTGCTATTGTTACTGTTGTTGCTGCTGCTGCTGCTGCTGGCATTGCTCGTGTTGCTCGTGTTGCTCGTTGCATTGTTGCTTGCCGCCGCTTCAATTTCATCGGCGTGGCACATCTTTCGATGTTTGTGAACAAAATAGTAACTGGGAAATTTACTGCCGCATGTCTTGCAGGGATAATATTGGACATTCATGTCCAAGGGTCGTACCTCGCGACGCAGCAATGCAGCACCCGTTGCACCTGCAACTGATGTTGCAGCAGCAGGAGTCGCTGTGGCTGCCGCTGTTACTAGGGAATCTGCCTCAAGGCTGGCCAAGGTTGTGGGTGGCTCAGCAGCCAATAGCTTCTTTTCGCCACCACTCGTGGTCGTAGTCGTTGTCGTGGTTAAGCTCAAAGGATTAAGATGACGCTTGGCATGCTTTTGATAGCAATATTGCGACTTGAAGGTGTGCTTGCAATAGACACAAACGTAGAGCTCTTGATTGGAGGAACCACCGCTCGTTGAGGCTCCTGCTGATGAGCCACCATGGGTTGAATGCTTCCTGGAGGAGTTGGAGGTGGCCACCGATTGCACAGCATCCCCACTATTCTCACTCTCCTCCTGCTGCTGCTGCTGCTGCTGCTGCTGCTGATGGCTCAATTGTCGCTGCTGACTGCTGATGGCCCTGGCCATTTGCTGGTGAAATGAATAGCTAACACTCTGCTGGCTACGATGCTGCTCTGAGGAGGATCCTCCTCCAGATGCTGATGATGTGGCTAGACCTCCGCCAGCCGGATGATTGGTATCCATACCCTCGGGCTTGTGGCCATAGGCTGTATTTAAGATGCGACGAAAGCGTACGGGTCCATCGCAGCTGGCCACATCGATAATGAATTTGGAAACGGATGATGGTGTTGTGGTTGTTGTTCCAGAGGAACCCAATTGCTCCAGCTGGGCAGCCGGGACAGGAGCCTTGGCCACCTGAAGGCCACTTCCACTGGTAGATGTTGCTCCTCCTCCTCCTCCTCCTCCTCCTCCGCCTTTTCTTGATCTTCCCTTTTTGCCCTGACCCTTGTGTGTACTTTCCCTTTTGGATTTTGATAACTTTCCACTGGAAGGAGTTGCCATAATGGAAGTTGGAAGTGCAGGAGTTGTTGCTGCTACTGTTGGTGTTGGCTTGACATCCAGTCGTTCGATATTTAGACTTCCAGCACTACTTCCAGCCAGGGAACTCACCACGGATACATTACAGTCCATATCCACATCGGGTTCCACTTCCTGTTCATGTTCAGGATCCAATTCATTATCTGTCACCGTATTGCTATCGATAAAGACTTCAATGTCCTCCTCCTCATCATTATCCTCTTCGTTATAAGCAGCACGTGGACTGGTGGCAGCCACTTCCATGTTGAGGAAAACCGCTGGAGGTGCAGGTGGAGGAGGAGCAGGTGGTGCCTGAGGTGGTGCAGCTACTCCTGCGGGTGTTGCCTGTGGCATGTGTGGCATGAAACCGAAATTTGGCATTGTGGCCTTGCTGGGTATTGGCCGGATAACCTTGGCCCCACTGCTGGGCACAGCAGCTGTTGGACAAAGCTGGCCAGGATTGCCATTAAGATAGCCCTCGGTTTGTGCTCGGGCCAAAAAGGAGCTAAAAAAAAAGTAAAAGGAAATTGTGATACGACGTTCTTGAATATTTTTTTAAATATTTCATAAAGTTCCGCGTGAATTGAAGTGAATTTTGTATATAAACTCTTGAGAGAGTAAACCTAGGGATCCTTAAGGCTAAGCCAAGGAACCCTGGCCCTTATAGCCAAGAAATGTGGTTTAAAGATGATGGAATTTTTATGAGATTTGGAAAATCTTGAAGTATTCTTTTCTTCTTTTGTAACCCAAACCCACCGGCATATCTCCAGGGCCCTTGGCATGTGCAGGACATGAGTGGCCAATAGGACGGCAAATATGTTGTCCACGGTCAGATCCAAGTATCCCGTGTACATGTAGGTGAGCAATGGTGCAAATTGATCCGCTGTCACATTGCTCAAATAGAGGAGCAGCTCTCCCGTTGCCGTTCCCGTGGCGCTGGAGGAGTTACCATTTGCCGCCGCTGCCGCTGCCAAGGTGGCCATGGTTGAGGCTTCATCCAAACGAATGGCGGAACGTAAATAGCCACTGTGCATCCCCAGGACGAGGGAATGGGCCACAAAACGTACACTGCTGGGCGCTGGACCCACCTCCAGGATGACATCCGGTGGGGAGCTCATGACCAGCGAGGTGGCATTGCCGGGTAGTCCTACTCCCAATCCCGATGGGCGTGCTATGGCCGGTGTGGTGCTCCCAGTTGTGTTGCTGCTGCTGCTGTTGTTGCTGCTGCTGCTGCTGCTGCCCGTCAGCCAATTGGTGAACATTGCACGTGCACAGCCAATAACAAATAACAAACAACAAACAATTAAAAAAAAATAGGAGCGAACGCGCGAAAGGATGCGTCAAAAGGATGCGAATGCGAATGCGACGAGTGGCGGGTTAGGACACGTGACCAGGGCGAAATCGACTGGCGAACTGATGGCCCACGGCCCTGTGTCTCTGGTATTTATACTCCAAAAAAGGCAGCAGTCGCAGCAGCAGCAGCAGCAGTCGTCGTTGTCGTTGTCGCTGTCCTTCGTCCTGTGTCCTTCGGCCTTCGGGATTCGTGAATTCGAGGATTCGTTTGGCTGTCGGTTGCCAGTCATATTATTCTTACATTTCTTCTTGTTAATTGTTTATTATGGGAATCTCTATAAAAGGAGATAATTTAGTCAAAATTGATGAGATGCTAAAAATAATTATTAATTGAAGTTTTAAGGGATATATAGTAGTTTTATTTGTAATTACTAAGAAAGAAATTATTTTATTAGGGATTCTCATGCTACACATTTATTATTATTTATTTTTTATGATTATTTCTAATATTTTAATATTTGTTATTAATGTATATTTGTTATATAAATTAAATAATATTTTTAATAATTATTATTTATTTATATTCCGTATATAATGGCATCATTCGATTTTTTAATGTGTTAAATACGATATTTTCGATATATTTCATTTAAGGCTTTTTACTTAACATTTCCCAATAAAAAAAACCTTTTTAGAAGGGATTTTATTTATTATTACACTGTAAACTTAATTAAAGTTAAGCTACAGGATAAATATCAGGGATAGCTGCTTTGAATTTTTGCTGAGTTTTATTATTATATTGTGTATCATGTTGATATTAAATATATAAATATTTCTTAATTAACGTTTTCGATTGCTCGATTGCTCGATAGCGATATTTTTCGATATTACAAACGATATAAATTATATATCGTACCATTCTTTTCGATATATTACGATGAAGCTAATTATAGCTATATTCCTTGACTTTTAATATATTTTTCACAATTTTTATATCACTTAAAAAGTTTAATTAGGTTATATTTAAGAAATTGATTACTGTTTTCTTTATTTTTAGCTTATTATTATTTTAATTTTGAGCTTGTTGTGCTTTGCTTTGGTTGCCAGTAAATGAAAATAATATTTTGTGACCAAAAAGTGTTGCCTACTTAAGCGGGCAACCGGGGATAGGGTAAAGGGTAGGTTTTTTCTCCAATTTTTCTCCCCCTACCCCCCTCACTTTTTGACCCAAAATGCAGAGTGGCAGGATTTCGCGGTCCTTTTGAGTACATTTTTCCACCCACCTCCCCCTTATCTCCCCTCCACCCCTTCGTTTGCATCTCTCACATCCATTTGCATGTGTCATTTGAGCGCTTAACAACTCTTTACCGTTTTCTTGTGTGTGTGGGAGTGTGTGTGTGCTGTACTATAGTGTGTGTGTGTGTGTGTGTGTGTGCTGTACCATAGTGTGTGTGTGTGTGTGTGTGTGTGTGTGTGTGTGTGCTGTACTATAGTGTGTGTGTGTGTGTGTGTGTGCGCGCGTGTGTGTGTTACCACCCGAAAATGTTGCCTCAATCGACTTAATTGATTTGTGGGCATAACCAACACATATTTACACACTGTTTGTATCCTCTACATATAGCATGTTGATTTACTGGAAGAGTGTGTGTGTGTGTGTGTGTGTGCCTTATCTGCTAGTAAATGTGTGTGTTTCTTGTGGTTGTATTGCTGGAATTACCAATCAGCTATTAGCGTAAATACCCTTAAAAATAATCTTAGTTGCTTCAGGTGATCTGTTTTAAGATGATTTTTGAGATATTTATTACTTTTTTTTGTTGGGATTTCTTTATAAAATTAATTAAATATAATAATACTAAGTACTAAACATTATTAAATCCCTCTCAAAGTACCAATTCATGACATTTTATTGAGACTTGATTAGAATTTCTTTGCCTAAAATAAAATCAAAGCTTAAATGGGGTTTTCATAGTGAAGATTATTTGTAATATTATTTATAATTATATTCCATATACTATAACTTGAATTTAGTACATATCTTATTCTTCTTTTGATATCATTCAGAGTATAAACCCCTGATGTAAACAACATACACCTCCTTTGGCTTTCTGCATTATTTTTCTAAGATTTCCATCAGCATACAAAACCCAACGCTGGTTTTTCCCCCATTTCCTTCCCCCCTTGTATTTTTTTTGTGGCTTATTTGGTTTGGCTTTAATTACCGTTACTGCTGATCGGTTTATTTGAGCAACCGCACCCTTTGGGTCCTTCCCTTCTACCTTTATCCTCTATCAATCGGAAAAAAAGGACATTCATTGCGGTTGCCCCTAAAAATACAAATTGGGGGGAGAGACAGATTTCGGCTGTCCGATATGGCAATTGGTCAGTTTGTTGGCTTTTTATTACGGCTATATGGCTATATGGCTATATGGCATTGGCCCTTATTGATAGGCTAATTTAATTAAGAGTCGCCTTTTGTAAGGACCTCCTCGTCCACTCACATCATGTCCGCTTCGATTTCACTTCAATCAAGCGTTAACAATTTTAATTAAATTATTTCCAAATGTAATTATAAATGTGCGTCATGCATAAATTGTGTTATTAATTTATTTACCTACCGCCCACGCTCACCGCCCACTGACAACAATTGCAATTACACCGAAAAGTCGAAAGTCCTGCAGGATCTCTCTCTCTCTACCGGAAAGGTGCAAAATGGGTAGAAATTGTGGCAAATGGTGAAGGAAAACAACGGACAGGGGCCATTTCACCAGACGCTGGTCCGAGGCCAACTTTTTGAATAAATAATCACAACGTAGGCAAAAAATAAATTTCATAAATTGGCATAAAAACGTGGAAAATAAAACAACACAAAAAATAAATATCTATATATACATGTTCTGAAATGCAGAATATATATATAAAAAATCCAACTGTGCGCAGCTTTTTTCGACATCATCGTCGTCAATCTGTGGCATGTATTTTAAACGTTGCCATTAATACCCCATCCTGTATTGTATCCTTATCCCGGATGTACACTTTGTCGATGTCCTTTTTGTCTGGTTTTTTATTGCTACATATTTTTAATTGTTTAATGCACTGTGCGTGCATGTTTGCTACTATTTTTTATGAACTCTTTGGGATCATCTTTGAGTGATCGATATTAGTGGGATTTTATTAGTAAAATTATACAAAACAAGAAAAGGAAACTAGCTTTGGATAGTTAAAGCTTCCATTATAGGATTGAATCGATCATAACTGAGCTCGATATTTATATATATTTTTATATAAAATTTTTAACACTAATCAAAAGCGGAAAGCGTTCCTATGCTAGTTTTTAGCAGGTTAACAAAGCTGCATACTCCATTTAAAATGTAAATTTTCGGCCGTTTTTAGCAAATTTTCATGGTAACCCCTTTCCTTTAAAAAAAAATTTTAATTTTTGAAAAAAAATTTTTTCTTTCGAAAATGGCTAAAATATTGCCCTATTGATATTGATCAAGAATATATACGATTTATAGGGTCGCAAATGACTGCTTCACAGAATTATAAGCTACCGACCAAAATTATATTCATATATTCATGAAATATGAATAGCTCTAATTGATTCCCACCTTATGTGGTTCATTTCATCCCACTGTAAGCTGCACAGTGGAATTGTGTCACCTGATGTCGCTGTAGCAATGTCTTTCCGTGATGCACAATTCAATTCAATTCAATTAATGAAACGTTGAAAAACGAAGCGCTGTTGTGTCACTTTTGCCTCACTTTGTGTGGGGCCACACTTTGTGCTGATCTTTGCAGTAAGTTGGCAAATTGCCTGACAACCGGAAAACCAAATCGAAGCAGCAGCAGCAACAGGACACACACACACACTCCCCTCACCTCACCTCGCCTCACCTTGCCTGTCAACTGGCTTACACACACACACACACTCACACACGCACAGCACCAGCTCGGCTTTGTCCATGTTGACAAGGAACTTCTGTTCCTGCTGCTCCTGCCTCTCGTCCTGCGCTCAGCTGCAGCTTATCCCAGTTGGATTTTATTGTTTGCATACACTCCACTCCACACTATATACATATATATACACTCACTGGTATCCTTGCAGCGATATCCTGCCGCTGCTCATCCTTCGCTTCTGGGTGGAAGCGAGTCAAAAGGGACAAACCTTTTATGACAATTAAAACATAATTGACGGTCAACATTAATAAACCAAACGCACACCGAAAAAAAAGCAATACAATACAATACACGGCAGCAGAAAAGCAAAAGAGCACAAGGCAACAGCTGAACAGAACAGGATGTCCAGGATATATGCATACATATGCACTTGGAAAAAGAAACTGATAAATTTGATACATATTTTCAATACACTGCTTGGGTTTTCTTTTAAAGATTTTTAGGAATTGAAATTTTTGAGTTTGCGGTGTCTTGTTGGTGAATTGTTGAACATATTTATTTGATATTATCTATCTATTGATATTATCTATTATTGATATTATTCAGCAGTATCTATAGATCTGTTGATGAATCGTTGATTAATTACTGATGAATGGTACTGCAGGGTAGAAAGCTCTTTGAGAGATATAACCTTTCACCAACGCACACCTCGGTTTATTACAATTCTTCAATAAGGCTTGGTGAACTGTATTTGTATATGTTTTCTTATTATTATTATTATTATTTTTTGAGGAACTACTTGTCCAAGTTGGAATATTTTTCGCTTTTTTTTGTTGTGTGCTGTGTGGTGTATATGTTACACCAACAACAACACCAATACTGGCCAGCACAAGATTGCAATTGAACTCTTTTTTTTTTTTTTTGTATAAAAAAAACATAAAACAAAACAAAAGGGTGCGATGAAACGAATAACGCACTAATCCCCCAGCCAGGATATATATAAACTCTCTTTGCCAGATCCCCAGAGATATATGTATATATATATTCTCTACCCCTGTCTTTCTCTCTATCT